AATTAGAGTATTTTTTTTATTATTTGTTTTGAAAAAAAAAACATTTAGCAGATAAAAACCGGGATCCTATCTCAATTCCACTGAAGCTATCACCTTCTTGTTTTTAGATAATTAAACAGAATTTATAAAGGAAAAAAATGAAATAGATCCAAAGGACCTATCAGTAACTATGTCTGTTCCAGCGCATATCATCATTAGAATTTCTTTGAGTATTATGTCTTCAGCACAGGGGCCATAACAGGGGCCAGGACATGATCCACAGGGGCACTGGTCACCATTGGCCCCTATCTAGAGCCCCCTATGTTGCTTTCCTCCTAGTTGCCAGCCAATAAAAAAACTCCACCTTCATGAGTTTCACTCTTGAGCCAAACATCCCCAGCAGTGAATGGATTCCTGATATTCTAATTTATTAAAATGATCCAGTATATATTTATATCCATTGAGATAGCCTACTGTTTGTTCAGATTAATCACTGCTAACTTTGCCAAAACATTCCTGTACTTCCTTGGCTGACCTTTATCTCTAATAATTCACCTCCCACCTTCATGGTTAAATTCCTAAGTTTTTCTCATTATGTCAGCCCCTCCTCAGCGCGCCTCTCATTGGCTGCTGGCTCCCTCCGTCAGTCAACAGGGGGTAACAGGAGGCGGATACGGAGCTTTCAGCTGGTGGGGGCCGCGCAGAGCTCCAGGTTCCTTGATAGAGAGCAGCAGCAGCTGGAGCACAGCAGCGAGCCGCGCCTTTTTGCTCCTCCTTTGTGGATCTCTGTGCTCAGGTAACTCATGCTGAAACTACCGGAAGCAGCCTAGGAAGTACCAGTAGGGAGGACTGAGACTTTTTCACCGCTTTATTTATTTTAAGGGGGGAACGAGAAGAAGCGACTGGCACTGAGCCGCTGCGTAAAACCCTCCGACCAAGCAGAGCGTCTTTGTTTGTTTGCAGCGCGCAGGTGATTTCTGATGTAGATGCATTAGTGTTTAATGATTGGATAAAGCCTACATGAAGGACAACTTTATACCCCAGTGGGAAAAGGTGAGTTGGTTAATGTTTTTTTTTTTTTTATTCCCCCCTGTCTGCAATGTGTTTTAACTGAAGGGAAAAGCCTTAAAAGCGCAGAGCGCGCAGAGACCGTTTTATAGCGTCTGAAGGTCGAAGTGCGGAACTTGGAATAACTCTAGACTCACTACAGCCTTAAAGTCTCCGACACTGTTTAATCAACATCCACTTTTATTTTTTTTACTTCCTATTCAAGCCATCTAAGGCAACTTTGTCCTGTTTTACGCGGAAAAAAGAAAAAAAATCTTATCTACTGAGATAAGATCCTGTCATTTTTGTTTCTTCCTTTTCCCGGATGACTCATTTGCACATTCCGACAAAAGACAAGATAGAGAGCATGCATTTTGTTAATGAGACTATAAAAAAATAGAATTTGAGAGAGGTATTAATTAAGTAAGCTTTATTATTGTAAAAAAGAATCCCACTCCAATAGGATTAGATACCCCATGTATTTATTATTCCTAGAGGTTTTTATTTGGATTTAACTGAAATGTGTCTGTCAAATCAACCATCTGGACTTATATTATTGTTGTTGTTTTTTTGATGATCAGTAATTGTTGTCATATATTTGCTTGAGAAAAGGAGAATTTTTAGCCAGCCTTGCAGAAAATGAAGTGGTACTTTCTCGTTTATTACATGCCTAAAACTTAATTGATGTCTTCTATAAGTGGATCAACATTTTTGGTTTTCAGATGAATACCACACACATAAATGTATGGGCTGGTGGTTTGGTTACCAACATTAAAACAACCTTCCCATCTGCCTGATGCTATTCAGTTGGTATCACCATGTGACTCTGCAGCAGTGTTTCTGTCAGGGGGGATCTTCTTTTCTTTTTTTTTTTTTTTTTGCAACAGATTCATCAACTCTTTTAAAAGGCTGAAAAGAAATGTATAAATTAAACTTGATTTTGTAATTTTATTTACAAAGAGCACACTTTTGTGGTACAATTTTAATTATTTTACAGTTTTAGCCTCTTTGTACAATTGAAAAGAAAATATGCCTCTAATTTTTGTGTGATATCATTTAGGTGCTAATTGAGTTGCCATGGCGCTCTTGTTTGGGTGCTAAAGCTTTGATGTAGATGCATGTGGTTTAAAGGACTCATTAAATCCCACCTTTTTCTGTATAAAATATTCAGTTGTGGTCTATATGAAGTGAAAACGCAATGCTTTGGTTTTTTGTTAATGCACCTCCTCAGATATTTATTTCTGTACGTTTTCTAATTCACCTTGTTTTGCTGTAGCCTCCTTAAATCAAAAGCAGGAATCTTAAACCCGGTCCAGGTTATGGACTATTCTACTCTGACCAGGTCAGCCTTATTTGTACTTTAGTAACAGAGATGAAATAAAAATCCATTTAAAGATGTTAACAACAGACAAGTTTTCTAATCAGCCTCGCATTTTGGGACCAAAGTCTCACCCTGAGCAAGATTCAAAGAAAAAATTAAATCTGAATGTGGTGTTTTACCTTTCTCCAATCAAACAAACAAAAAAAAAAAATCTTCAAAAACAGGGAAATCTTGGGAAATTAAAAGTAGCGAAAAAAATTCTGCCAACTGTATGCTTTTTAAAATTTAAATACTAACACAATATGACTGAACACTTATTAAGAAATTGTCATTCCTCTCCAAAGTTTTTTGGGTATTATAGCCTATATTTGCACTATTAGCCAGGTTTCTCAAAACAGTTTCATTATAGGTCCATAGCAACAACAAAGATTCTTAAACACATCTTTTATAAAATACCTCTACTTAGTTCACAAGTTAATGAAGCAGCAAGAACATCACTGGATGTATTTGGGTCAAGAGTTCAGTAAGACAAAAATAGCAACCAGACATTTTGCTAAAGTGTTTGCGTAACCTTTTTATTTAAAACCTAGAGAAAGGTTTTGTCCTTAAGGACCTTAAAGCAAACACTTATATTCATCTGCTTGTTACCTTGGCAACCAACTAGGACTACAAAATAATGCAGAAGAGAAAAAAAAGTCAGGTTTATTAAATTGTAAACCATTAGTCTATGGGGGGGGCATGCAAACAAACTCTATGCAGAAAGACCGGGAATCGAACCCGGAACTTTCTTGCTGTGCTACCCAGTGCTACCCACTACTCCAGTGTGCAGCCCTAAAGACTCCAAGTACACAAAAACATTTAGATAAAAAGTGGATTTTGATGGCATGCCTACTTTAAATCTTATTTTAAATTCAGAAAGATGCTGCTTTATGCCGCACTGAGTTTTATTGTCGAAGTCCGTTTGTGCTACTCGTTGGTGGGGCTGTAAACTTGTCATAAAAGTTTTTCGATTGTCCTGGAACATTTTAAGCACTTGGTTAAGAAAAGAAAAAAAAAGTTTAGTAATGGAAATCTTTGAAACACTTGAAAATAGTACACTAGCCAACTTTTAGCTAACAAAAGTGAGAGCATTGGCACCAGCTTTGCACTCTCTCCTATTCTACGCTGAATTGAAAAGCTACTGGGTCTGCCTTTGATTTTGTCTAGTTTTAAATCAAAAATACTTTTGACTAAAGTTGGGTTGAAAATTCTGGTTCTGAAAAAAACTCCTGGAGCTCCTCTTTTATTAACGAAAGTACAAAATAAATCCTGTTCAATACTTTTCTGGTGTCTAGACCACCTGGACTTATCAAAACTGGACTGAATTATCTGCAGTGAATATAAGGCTGGGTGATATGGCAAAAAAATCAAATCTCCAATAAAAATAGAAATAAACTACCAAATCCGATTAATCAATTTTTTTTCTACCTTAAGTATAATAAAATAAAAATGACAAATCGCATATCTCTTTCAAAAACTGGCTTTCTTTTTTCAATCCTCTCCTTAAAAAGTGAAACGTTTTTTAAAACAATGTTTCACAAAAAACAATGAGTGTAAGAAACAAAATGTTTGCAGCCAGTGGTGTTACACAGTCCCAGAGGTTATAACTTATAAGAACCCATCTAAGAACAGAAAGCGATGAACTCATGTCACCCGGTGCAATGGAAGCCCAAGAAGTGGATTAGAAATTAATCGATTCTAATCTATCTCAATTAATTGACTTTTTTGTTTGTAAAATGTTTATCAGCTGTAACTAATCATATAACAGTAACAGATATATATAGTCAGAGCCCTGTCTCGTTCTGTTGTGCTCAGTATTGTCTTGTTTAAGGGACTAAATACATGATAATTGGGAATAATCTTGTTAGTTTTACAGTTTGTTACAAAACTGCTTATGGTACAGAGCTTTTGCAACATTTTTTCTCTTAAAAGCGTTGAATTTATGGCCCAGAGATAATCCCCATAAACACTTTGTTTTTGCGGCATAGCGTCACCCCCAAATCCAAAGAGCAGTCCCACTTTTACAAATGGAGATCCTTGGGCTTAGATGATCTGACTTATTCCAGCCACACTAAACTCAGTGGCGAACCGCTGCAGTGCAGGCTGGACAACGAGGCCTAAAGAACCAGATCAGATGAGACTGTTGGGTAATACAGACACCCTCTCTCAATTACAGCCCCTGCATAGAACATACAGGGGTTATTTGGCCCTTATTAGGAGCTAATATACCTCTGGGGATACATTGTTAGATCTAAAAAATTCTTGTGAACTGCAGAGGATAGGAACACAATCAAAATGAAAGTATGTCGTAATCATTTGCTATTTTTTTCCTGTAATTTATCAGATAGAAATGAGCACCGTGCTGTAGATTGTCACTGCAAGTAAAAAAACAAACAAACACCTCATCAGATACCAGACTCTTGTAAAGATAAGCAAATGTCTCATCTTACAAATGAGTCAAACAGAACTGACTGTTTCTTGCATTGCATTGCTCGCTGCAGCTCTTCTGTTACAGAGGGGAGGAGGGAGTTCAGGCCTGGGTGTGGTTCCCCTCTTAATGACTGGTTTGCTTTCAAACTGGTGTTTACTGATCCAACCTGTTTCATTCACTCACAAATACAGGCACGTGATCCATAAAAAAAAAAAACGCATAGCCATGCAAATCCTCGGAGCCACGTAAGTGTGGAGGAGACGACACAGAACTCTGTGTGGCCAACAATTTGAAACCCATCTACAATACTTCAGTGTGCTGCAGTTAGACCTATCATTATCGGTTATGTATATATAACTAAATGTACATGGTTTTTCCTTTTAACTTGAATATTTATTTTCTGTTGCTCTTGTTGTTTTATTGGATTTAGTGACGACACAAATCATTGCAACAGGGCAAAGTGTAGGGGACAGGAAACGGAGAGGATATCTCAAGTTGGGGGTTGTGAGGTATTTGCTTTGTGACCCCCTGTTTATTTTCTTCCCCAGTAAAGATTCTCATTCTTGAGGAGTGGACTTCTGTGCCATTTCTGAGGAGACTATAGATCAGTTTCATGTCCTGCTGTTGAGCTAAAAGATTCACGGCTTTGTTTAAACTCTGTGTTCTTAGGATCCTCCTTTATTTGTGAATCTCTCTTGTATTTATACCAGCTAATTAAAAAAGGCCCAAATGGGATTTTATTGCATTTCATTTTCTATTATGCAATTATGGCTGAAAAATCAATCACGATATAAGCCTAATGGCATTCCTAAAAATGATTTATGGTTCTGGATCAGAGTTCCATTGAAAAATTTGATCCAATTTATTTCCCACTGATATTGATCCCATGTCTATTGTGTTACACACTGTCTGGGAGTTATTGTTCAGACCTAGTCTGACTTAAATCAGACTGATGTGATCTCCATAGTTATGGCGTTTTAGTTTCCATCATGTCAATGCTCGTATTCTCCATTTTTAGAGTATCACCACTACTGTCATAGTCTCAAAACCATAGCAATAAGAAAAAACACTGTTCTGTTTTTATTTGGACATATAAAAATGAATCTTATAAAAAAATAAAAAGAAGTAATTACTGCGAATGCGTACACAATAAATAACTGCTATTATTCCAAGCAAATAGTTAAACTACTGAATGTAGTTAATTATGGTTATGTT